TGGTGGGCCCAATGGTAGTGTTATTCCTTATTCATGAAACGATCCGAATGTGAGATTCTTTTTTTAATGTTTAAAACATTATTTTCAAAGTTGATGTTATTGATTGACAGGTGAAAGATGGAGAGCTTGTTTTAATGGATATTGGATGTGAGTTACATGGGTATGTTAGTACTTGGCCTCCATGTGACACATTCTCGGATGTTCATGTATGCTTCCATTTGTCACAACTCGCACACAGTTTTACTTATTACTTATATAATATTATATAATTTTTGTAATTAATTTCATGATGTTTTATGATTTTAGAGAGAAGTGTATTATCTGGTGTTATGCCCCGGGATTTGGATCTCGTGACTAGCCCTGTACTTGCAGTTATAGGAGCCGTGAATCTCCAGTAACCTAGCCCCCTGCTGCAGGAGACTAAGCCAAACAAGTAAACTGATATTATTCTCTGATTGTTAAGAAATTCAAGAATGCTTTATTCCAATAAAGACTGCCATTTAAATAGGGAAAACAATTACTCAAAAATAAGGAAGCAAAGCTCCTAAATCACCAAGACTTTGGAAACAGAATCAAACTCAAAACTAGATATTATCTTGAATTAAAATACTCCTAATTAATAGCATGCATTAAAAAGTGAAATCCTTTTTAGCCTCCTCCAATTGCCTTAGGTTCTTTCTTACGCTTCTGATAAACTTTTCCATATCTGTTATTGGCGACCATAACATTACTCCCTTCCTCCGCATTGAGCTTGTCCTCAAGCTCAAAATCTGGATAAGCTTCCTGGAAGGTGGCTTGATCTTCCCAAGTAGCACTCTTGATAGAATCAGGAGCCCACTGAACCAACAACTCGGGTTTGCCTTGCAAATTCCGCATACGCAACACTTTGATAGGAGTACATAGAGTCTTTCCATCCAAGAGCTGTGGAAGTTCGGTAACCATATCAGGTGGGGACCTGTGATGTGGCTTCAATAAGGACACATGAAACACGTTATGGATACGAGACCCCTCTGGTAATGCCAACCGATAGGCGACTGACCCGATTTTTTCAATAACACCAAAAGGTCCATAAAACTTAGGAGACAACTTATTAAAAGTATTCTTAGAAATGGACATCTGGCGATAAGGTTGCAGTTTTAGCCAAACCCAATCACCCACCTGAAACTCCAGAAGGCGATGGTGATCATCATAAGTTGTCTTCATGCGTTGTTGTGCTTCAGCTAGACGGTTGCGTGCTTCTTGCAGGAAGGTCGTACGGTCGATCAAGGCTTGGTCTACCGCATCCACCTTACAGTGACCTCTCACATAATTAAGCAAACTAGGTGGATCCTTGCCATAAACAAGTTTGAAAGGCGTAGCCTTAAGAGTTGTGTGGTAAGATGTATTATAACAGTACTCCGCCCGAGGTATCCATGTAAGCCAACGACGTGGTCTATCCCCTGTCAAGCAACGTAAGTACATTTCGATGGTGCGATTAACCACCTCTGTTTGGCCATCACTTTGTGGATGGTAGGCTGTAGAAAAAGAGAGTTTTGTTCCAGAGAGACGAAATAATTCTTTCCAAAAGGCACTTTGGAAGATTTTATCCCGATCAGACACAATGGTTTCGGGAAGACCATGCAGCCGGAAAATTTCTGAAAAAAACACTCGTGCAACTGATTCAGCCGTGTACGGATGCCCGAGGGGAATAAAATGGGCGTATTTAGAGAAACGGTCTATGACAATGAGTAAAGCCGATTTTCCCAACACCTTAGGGAGAGCCTCAACAAAATCCATTGAAATATCAACCCAGATCGTAGTAGGGATCGGTAAGGGCTGCAAAAGACCTGCAGGCTGTAGTGTTTCCCATTTATTGCGTTGACAGACCACGCAATTACGAACATAGTCTTAAACCATCTTTTTCCATCCCTTCCAATAGAAATCTCGACGAATCTGCTCCATACTTTTCTGAGTCCCTTCATGAGCCGAGTCATGAATGCCTGATAGAACTGTCTCTACCAGCAGTGAAGTTGGTTGCAAATATGCTCGTTTATTTTAAAAAATGAGTCCATCTCGGACTGACCACTTGATCGCCTCGGTACCGCATATAATCCGCTGGCGCAAGTCTTGAAGGTCCGCACTAGTGTCGATCTCTTGTTTGAGGGAAGAAAAAATATCTATGCGGATTTCTGATAAAGCAAACAGCTCACCCACCCCGATCTCTTCTTCCCGCCTGGATAAGGCGTCTGCTGCCTTGTTGAGGGCCCCTGCACGGTATTCAACCTAAAAATCAAAGCCAAGAAGTTTACTGACCCAATGTTGTTGTGGCGAGGTTGTGAGGCGTTGTTCCAGCAAAAACTTTAAGCTATAATGATCTGTCTTGATCAGGAATGGTCTGCCCCACAAGTAAGGTCTCCAATGGGCAACGGCCTTAGCTAAGCCAATTAGTTCTCTCTCGTATGCCGGAAGTTTGTGGTGGCGGTCTGCAAGTTTACGGCTAAAGAAAGCAATTGGGTGGTTGTTTTGCTGAAGGATTGCGCCGATGCCACTACCTGATGCATCACACTCGACAACAAAAGTGTTTGAGAAATCAGGCAATGCTAAAACCGGTGATTCTGATAATGCACGTTTCAAGTTTGTGAATGCTGCCTCTGAATCTTTGCTCCATGTAAAACCGTTCCTTCTAAGCATGCTAGTTAATGGGGCGACAATGTTGCCATAGTCTTTAATGAACTTTCGGTAATAGCCCGCCAAGCCAAGGAATCCGCGTAGAGTTCGGATATTATGAGGTTTTAGCCAATCTTGAATTGTTGCAATCTTACTTTGGTCAACCGAAACCCCTTTTTGGTGAATAATGTGACCTAGATATGTGACGTCCTTGCGACCGAAGGAGCACTTAGGAATTTTTTAGAAAGATTCTGTGTGCGCGTAACAGGCCGAAAACTGTTTGGAGGTGATGAAAGTGCTCCTCCCCTGTTCGGCTATAGATTAAAATATCATCAAAAAAGACCAAGACGTACTTGCGCAGTTGTTGACGGAAGACGTCATTCATTAAACTTTGGAATGTCGATGGGGCATTTGACAACCCGAACGACATGACAAGGAATTCGAAGTGTCCGTGGTGAGTGCGAAAAGCCATTTTCTCGATATCCAAGGGTGACATGCGGATCTGTTGGTACCCGGAGGCTAAGTCAAGCTTAGAAAAAAACATCGCTCCGTGTAGTTCATCAAGGAGTTCCTCTACTACTGGGATAGGGAACTTGTCTTTGACTGTTTTGGCATTTAATTCTCGGTAGTCAACACAGAAACGCCACAATCCGTCATGCTTTTTAACCAGGAGAACAGGAGAACTAAAAGGTGATTGACTAGGCCGAATTATTCCGTTCTACAACATCTCTTCACACTGTTTTTCAATTTCATCCTTTAGGAGATGGGGGTATCGGTAAGGTCGCACCGTAACTGGTTCGGTGCCTGAATGAAGCCTGATCTGGTGATCACATGACCGAGAGGGGGGCAGACCCTGGGGTTTTTCAAAAATATCCGAAAAGGACTCCAATAATTTATCGAGGTTTGGCTCATTCTCATCAGAACCACTAACAGCAGCAAGTGTTATCGTGTCAGGTGTCCCGCCATGCCATTTAATCGCCTTTCCATCGATAGTAAATTCCATCTCCCTAACTGTAAAATCCCATAGGATGCGCCCCAATCGTTTCAGCCAATGAATCCCTAATACCATGTTGAACCCTTCCAGTGGAATAGCGAAGAAATCGGCTGAAAACTCGTAGCCTTGAACCATCATTTGTGTATTGCGACTTATCCCACTACTCACTATTCTCCCTCCATCTGGTAGTGCGACACGAAGTCCTGGGCGGCGATGCACCGGGACCTGAAGCTGGTCGGCTGCTCTGCTGACAATAAAATTGTGGGTGCTGCCACTATCAAGAAGCACCCATGTAGTTCCGGAACCAATAAGTGCTCGCACCTGAAAGGTTCTGTCAATTTTTTCTCCACGTATGGCACTCAGCGAAATTTCTGGTGTTACTTCAAATTGAGTCTGATCTTCTTCGTCCTCATCTGCCATCATAATGCAAAACAATTTGGCACACTTGTGACCGACTGAGAACATCTCATCGCAGTTGAAGCACAACCCCTTTGCTCTCCGTTCTGCCATTTCAGATGTCGTGAGATGCTTCCAAGTTAGGTTCCTTGGTTCTTTTTTTGTAGCAGCTGCCCCTGTTTCTTCCCGATTTCTGATTGCATTTGGGGGTCGACTTCCTGATGGGGGTGCTCCGAGCCCTCTAGCATGGCCCTCTTCTGACAATTTGAGCTCGATTTTCCTTGCTAGGTTCATGGCAAAATATAGGGTATTTGGTTTCGCGTACTCAACTTCATACCGAATTGCATTAGTTAAACCTGCACAGAAGTGCCAAATACTCTGTTCTGGTGTGACCCCCGTGGTCCGACCCAAAAGGGATTCGAATCCTTCACAGTAATCTTCCACAGTTCCAAGTTGGCGTAAGCGGGTCAGCTCCCCTAGCGGATTCATGCTCATAGGTGGCCCAAACCGGATTTTGCATTCTTCTGAAAAATCATTCCACGTCATTCTGTCCTTCACCCTCCTGAGATTATGATACCAACCACTGGCTCGCCCTTGCAGAAAAAACGTGGCTTGTCAGACCCATCCATCAACTGGTGTTTGTTGTTCTTCAAAGAAATCTTCACATTTTTGTAGCCACTCCATTGGGTTAGTTTTTCCATCATAAGTCGGGAATTCCATCTTTGCGAACCTTGGTACCCGGGTGCCACGGTACCCTGTGTCCTCAAGGTCTTCCCACTCCTTTTGTGGTCACTCCTGGCGGATAAATCCTTCTGTTCTGTACTGGTCCCAACTGTGCTTAAATGGTTGTGGTTGCCCAGTTCGCCATGAATCATTCCCTTTCCCGATTACTCGACCTGATCCATTTGGTTGTCCCCCAACAGGACCCTTTCCCCGTCCGACGACTGTGGTAATTGTCGGTCCTTTAGCTTCTCGAGCACTGTCGGGTTTCGAAACCTGTCCCCCTGCCTCTTCCTTGACTTTGCTCTGGTGGATCATCGAATGACTCCATCTCTATCTCCTCCTCCACACTAGCTTCCGAACCCCCTTGTTTATTGGATTTGTTATGGCTCCGTGCAGATAAGCCTTCCTCCAATGTCGCTTGCTTGGCTTGCAAGGCTTCCACCGCAGCCTTCAATTCACTTGTGCTTTGGGTTTGTTGGGTCATGAAGGCTTCCAGTTTCTTCATAAATTCCTCTGATTGGTTTGTCATCACGAGCGGCTCTGATACCAAATTTGTTATGCCCTGGGATTTGGATCTCGTGACTGGCCCTGTACTTGCAGTTACAGGAGTCGTGAATCTCCAGTAACCTAGCCCCCTACTACAGGAGACTAAGCCAAACAAGTAAACTGATATTATTCTCTGATTGTTAAGAAATTCAAGCATGCTTTATTCCAATAAAGACTGCCCTTTAAATAGGGAAAACAATTACTCAAAAATAAGGAAGCAAATCTCCTAAATCACCAAGACTTTGGAAACAGAATCAAACTCAAAACTAGACATTATCTTGAATTAAAATACTCCTAATTAATAGCATGCATTAAAAAGTGAAATCCTTTTTAGCCTCCTCCAATTGCCTTAGGTTCTTTCTTACGCTTCTGATAAACTTTGTCATATCTGTTATTGGCAACCATAACATCTGGTTGTAGAGACCAACAAAGATGTATTCAACTTTCCAACCATGGTATGAGCATCCAGCGTATACACAGCTACTCGGTATAAATTTGTTACTACTTAAATCTTTGGTTGTCAATATCATCACATTTGAGGTATATAATATAATATATATGATTATAAATTTATAATATGTTGAGTTTTCTTTTGTTTATAATTACTTGATGTTATGTAGGTTGAGAAACTTTGTAGAGGATTAAAGGCGATGGGAATTTTGAAAAATGATAGGCTTCAAAGCTATTACAGATCAACCCTCTTTTATTGCGGTATTAATGAAAGATGAATCAGATTCAGAATTATCACAAAGCTGAAATGCAGCACGAGCTCCTTCAATATTTCCTATTTTCTCTCTATATCTTACATTGAAAATATGTACCTCTGATACATCCTGTATAACAAAATATATACAAGAAAATGTGAAAAGATTTCTAATCCTTATAAAATTAAACTTAGTTTGCATCTGATGTATATTACTGTTTGGTTTGTAAATCTGCCAAAGGAATTGGATTTTGGAAAAGTAAGATTATCTTGTGTACTGATTGTGTAAAGTTTTTTTTTGGTGTTTTATTATATTTTCTTTTTAAGTTTTGTATAACATATTTTATTTTTGAAATCATTGTATGCTGGTTTAAAGTCAAAAATGGATGAAAGAAATTGATCTGAAAAGGTTGCATTATGGTCTGTGATGACCTGATGTCATGGGCATTTCAGTTGAAGCTAATAGGACTTTCATGTTGCATGTCTATTGAATGCATTATGAAATTATGAAGTACCCTCAACATCTTTCCCATGGGTCATTTACTAGCTTTTCCTGTATCATTCTGTCTGATATCAAATTCAAGAAGAATTGCTCCTGAAGATGCCCAAACATTTATTCACGTTGACATCATAAGTTGATTCCTCAAATTCTTCTCTTCCCAGCTTCAAGAAACTCACTAGTTTCATTTTCATCGGCATCTACATTTATGTCTAGAGGCATCATTTTTGTCTTTAGGGTTCATACTGAGGCTTATGCTAACATGAAGATCATGCTATTTGTGAAGCTACATGTACGTCATCAATATATGTGGTAGCAAAGGAAATATGAAATGTCTTTATGCATGGGACTTAAATTTATTATAATGTTGAAAACACATCAATTTTCAAGGGTACTTGTCTGAATAGCCAGAACAACAGAAAAGAAAGATGGATTTTTCACGCTGATGGAGTCTCACTGATAGACCTTCATGTTGGTACTCTTCTAGTATTTGTCACAAACCTCATTTTTCAGTGTCATCCTGTTTTCCATCTCTATGAAGTCATTTAGTGATGTCTCTCAATGTTCAAGTCAATATATGCGCCATTCTTCTTGAAGTCAATTGATGCAAAAGGAGTAAAAAAACAATTAAAAGCATGGGAACTTAATTCTCATGGCAGTCAAGGCTAGTCTATAAGTTTGTTTGCATGATGCTATAGTTCTGATAGAGGATGCATGGTTGTGGTATTGTTGTGAGGTACAAGGAACATGGTTTGGTCTCTGTAGAAGTAAGGAAAAAAGAGATTATGCTATTATCGTAATGATGTATGGTTCTTATGGATATATATTGTTTTGTTGATAAAATATGCTACTGAAATGGTTGTCATGTAGCATGGAGTATCATAAACTTAACAAGTTTGTTGAGAAGTGACAGTTTGGTCATTATTTTACAAGGAACTGCTAATAAGAGAGGTGTAAAGTATTAAAGGACTACAGGGGCATTTATGTGCAATTATGAAAGGAGTATGAAAATTGTTGGTTCTCATTGGGTTTCATAGGTTACTATAGATATAAAACCAAATGGTTTGATGTCGAGCATGCTTGTTACATGAATTAGTCAAATTTACGTAGGTTTGCTAAAGAAAAGACTAGAATTCACATACAAATGGGCTATTTAATTTCTATCACATGTCAGCTAAAGGAAGATGCTGAAAAATGAGCTAATTGTGACCTGTCAAGAAGCACTATTCTCTCACAGAAAAGTTGATGCTTTTATATTTGAGTTATCAAGTTTTTGAAAAAGGGTTTGTTTGATATAAATGATGTACACAAGATGAATTGTTGAGGGAATATAAGTGTCATTTGTATGTAAAGGGCATGAGATGTCAAGAAAAGTTCCACAGGTTGAATATATTCTTTCTTGCTCTGGGTTTACGCAAAAAAAAAGAGGGCTTCTTCAAGCGTGATTCTGTCGGTTTGGAAGAATGGTTAGTTAACTATTTTTTGGCTTATGGTTTAAAGGTTTCATTACTAAGTGTTCATAGAAATCATGCTTAGGGGTAGTTTGGTCTATTTCGTAAAAGTCATGTGTATGGGCTGTTTTTTTATGTTGTATATATCAGCATGCACTGATTTGTTGATTCAAGGGATGAGCTGGAAATATTGACATGTTACAACATCTATCTATAGTCAAAGTTTTCTGATTGTTGTCAATTTGTCACATATGGTAGAGGAAAGGAATGATGGCAACATAAATAGCTTATGGTACTAGTGTTCTGTCAGCATGAACCTCATGCTAATTTGTATGTGTGCTGCTTTGTCACCATCCTTATTCTTGATGAACAATATCGACGCTACCCACAACGAATTTCTCGGTCTGATGAATTGCTTGCCTAACAACTCCTGAAGCTGAGAGGAAAAATTCTGCAAATACCAGGGGCTTCGTATTGTCAATGTCCCGATACTGAAAAGCCCTCCCATTGCCAATCCCCGCAGCAGCAACGACTGTGGTGGCTGCAACAGCAACAGCCTTAGAGAGTGCAACATATCGATCGTCGAAGAACTCCATCATTGCAGTCTTCATAGACCCAAAAAACTTTGGTATCTGCTCCCGTACAATAGAAACAACCTCCTCACGAATGATCTCCCTAGCTCGATCCTCAGTCAATCCTGGCCCATCATGGCCACCTGTCCTAACTCCTGATCTAGATACTGACTCAAATCATCTTGTAACTACCATACAAAAAATAAACCAAGGAGATATCAGTTAAATGCACATAATGTCATAAGGACTAATTCCTAACAAAACACTAGGGGTTACGACTTACCTGCTATGCATACGGGTCCTGTGGTTCCGGTAGTAAGGGCCCATACTATCTTCCACACCAACCGTATTTGTCTCAGAAGATCATCATAACAACCCTAACAACACTCACTAGTATACACATGCAACCTATTCTCACTTCCTAAAGAAAGGTTAGACATACCTCGACTGGTCGGCTGACCCCACATAACTCATCCATGAAACTTCTACCAACCCTACAACACTTGTGTATGCTAATCATACATAACACTGGATCCCATAGACAGTCAAATATTTGATTCTACCCTAAGACCCCAACCAGAAAAGGAACATGAAATAAGGCTAAATCAAACATTCTGATGCTATAAGATCTTAGTTATGCATAATTTTGATGCATACAATAAGCAACCATAATAATGATGTCAATTTCATATAAGGAAACCCTAGGATATTATGCATCATATAATCAGGAAATTCTATCATGCAGTTCCTGAAGATCCATAGCCTATCACTAGCATGTTGTTCTAACATATCACAATATCAAATAAGAGTGTGATAATTTGGGTCTGCTTACTGGCTCTGATTGATCGCACACATCGCATCCTCTCTTGATTATTTTGAAAATCATTTTAAAAACCTTTTCATTTTCTTAGTTTGAGACTGGATTTACACCGGTATTCCTCTAATTCACTCAAACCAAGGCTTTGAAACAAACTTGTAACATCCCATAAAATCACAACAAATTTAAACTTTTTTAAAAACAACCTATAGTCATAAAATGTTTACAAAATCATTTGTTTCCAAATTGTTTATCCATATCAGAGTATCCCAAAATCATAAAGCCGTAAACAAAGGATATATATGGTCACACTTTCGCTTTCCCGCGATCATCAGAAGTACCTAAGACAACAACTAAAAACAGTAAGCCAAAGCTTAGTGAGTTCCCCCAAAGTAGCAACACACAAATAATACAACAACATGTCGGGTCCAATCAACCATCAGGTTGGCATACCCCAAGCCCAGTAAACCTCTAGTTCCAGTCATTCTCACAATGGAAGACCCCAGGTCGGAATGCCAATATACAACGGGTCCATTTATGTTGGATTAATGTCTAAGTCCATAACTATAATTGGTAAAACTTGACCCGACCCGACATGGTCCATTTGGGTTGCATGGCATCATGCACCTGGATAGACTAAAATGAGAGAAATAACACTTAAGGTTTATTAATATATTATAAGTTCATATATATTGATAAGGTTATTTAATTAGTATTGATCAAGAATTAATTTGGAATTAATTAAGTGATCAAAAGGAGACTAATTAAATATATGGGTTGATTGTGTAAATCATTCATTCTTATATATGTGGGCTTGTGATCCAAGATTCCTTATGTTGGACTAAGTCCATGGGGTGACCCATGGATGCTCCATGGAGTTTAAAATCCATGGAGCATAAGGAATGGGTAAAGTCACGAGTTACATGGTGTAACCCTAATAGCGACCATATAAAAGAATCCCATGGCTCAAGAAATCGTACACTATGTGTGTGAGGGTGAGGGCAAAACGATTTCATGAAGTGTTCTAATTTCTCTCTAAGTTATTCCAAGTGCTTATGGTGTTGTGTGAACCATTTGAGGTGTCACACTTGGGGCACTAGGCACTCAAGCTTCAT